CATCAGTAAGTATCTTCAGTCGGCGTCGATGCGCCACTTCGATAAAGCGGCACGACACGAGAACCCTCTCATCGTGGCCGCCGGTAACTACATTCCCGATCCTGCGGACAGAATGGAAAGCAGTCGACGTCGCCCAAAACACGTCATCTCGGATCCTCCCGATCCACTAACGGTGCTTTTAGGTACTTCAAGCACCGGTTACCGTTCTCGTCGAACCCGTCACTTGCGACGAAGGGCTCGACGAGTAAATTAACTCTCAGACATAGCCCACTGAGTTTCTCGCCGGATCTCCTCAGTGGGTCGCGTTTCCGATCCGGTGGTAGATTCTGCGAAGCACGGCTCTTGCTAGGGTTCGTGTTAGCAACGTCATCAGGTTTGAGCCCCGTGAGCTCACCTACAAACGTTAGGGTTACGCTGAAATAGCCCCTAAGGCTATAAGCTTAGGTAGGAAAAAAAAGGGCCATATTATTATCACCTTCAGCCTTCAAAGGCAATACAAGACAAGTAGGTAATACATACAATGATATAATTTTAAAATTCCCTTTTCATTATATAGGGACAGGGTTAACAGAGTGAAAAATTTTAATAAATCATTATACTTTAATTTAAAGGTTACAATCTATTCTACAGGTTTTATGGTAATGAACCTGGACAAAACAAAGGCAACTAAAATTGTAGACAACACAAAAAACGTAACAAAAACATAAAATGTGTCTTCTGAGAATACATCAGTAAATGCTGGTATTTGACGATATATTTCTTCAATGACATCTAGGTTTCCTTTAGGTTTTGCCATCTCTGCTTTTATTTTGTTTTTGTCTTCTTTTTATCTGACTTAGTTTGTAGTGTAGTTGGTGGTAGTTCTACAGGTGCTAAAGAAGAAATGTGCTTATTCAATAATTGGAGAATTTCAAGACAAGTAAGATTCTCACTTCTTAAAGTCACTTTCTGTATTTTTGCAGTTGCTGAAACAAAATAAATATAAAATAAATTAATATGACAATTTTAGTGTGCAGATACATTTATAGTGTTGATTGCTGGCTTGTGCCATGATATTTTGGAATGTTTCATTGTAATACACATTATTTAACAGATGCACTTAAATTAGAACAATTGTCTCTTGAGAATATCGGAAAATTAAAAGATGCAGTATGGTTCCGACACAATTCACTTTTGCAGTTATAATTTGCAATTGTATGTGACATGGGTAAACTCAATCAAATTATATACTTTGAAGTGTACTTCCCATTCTAGTTTCTTGAGAATGTGTTTCTTCAATAATAATTTATATACTGTATGATTGTTAAACTGCAAATAGATGTAAATACCAAGATTTGAACCTGTACATTTATAGTAAAATGGATTGAATTTTGGTAAGCTGGAAGAGAAGAACTGATAAATAAAATAAGAAATACCTGCAATTGCAGGCAAAAGTGTTATTTCTACTGTTGGCTCACTCCTGTCACACAACACTTCGGTCTTCACAGAGCAATTGGGATTTGTGATTGCTATTTTAGGTGCACTGATGTAATGAGCAAAATTCCTGAAAATTACCGCTGGAATGAGACTTAAATAAATAGCACACATGCATAAATTCCGCTCCAACAATTTCTCATTTATTATAGTAGTTTTTAATCAGTCTTAAAAACAAAACAAAGCAGGCGTGACTTTAGCAGTTGTTAATTCATCAGTTACCGCATAATCATAATATTTACTGTATTTTGTTAAAGTTATTTGTTATTTGCTTTGTTTTATGTTGCTTTAAAACGCTTAAGGGTTAATCGTTTTAAAGCAACACTTAAGAAAACATTCAATTCAGTTCCAATTTTTTACTATAAATCCAATCTTTAGCTTGTAGGTTACCGATCTCCTTAGATTTGAGTAGACAAGGTTGTAGGCATATAAATTTATAATTAGAAAAGATAGGATTTCAATAGAAGTGCGGTAAACATAGATTTATCGGAATAAAGAAATTACCTTGTGTGAGTTGCGTTTTCTCCAAATGGATCAAATTTTATGGTAATTTTTTTAGCAGCCTTTAAATTAACTGCTTTTAGTTGTTTTCCAATGGCTGAAACAACACCTTTGGATCTTCTAATTGTACCGCTATACGGAATAGACATTATTTATTTCCCACAGGAATCACGGAAATCGATACTACCTAGGTACCACAATATACTATTTAGTCTATGACCAAATCCAATTGCCCACTTTTTTGTTCAATTGTATCAGCAAAGAGGGCATAGCCCATTCAGCCTTGTATATAAAGTGCAAAAAATATCTGTTACATAAAAGTGCAATAATACAATATGAAATTAATTTGAAATTGAAAACGAATCTCGAGCTCAACATTGACAATTTGGTAAAAAAGCCCTGATGGAATTCCATGTGTTAACCTTGTACTTACTGTGATCTGGAATGCCAATATCTCCATAGATTTTGATATTAAAATCTTTTGATAAGCCTGTTTCTAATTACAATTTTAATACAAAATAAGTTTTTAGTTCTAAATAAATAATAGTATCGGTTCAAGTGGCATGTTCATCGGACTTTTAAGTTATTAATGTCCAAATATTTTGTTCTGATAATTTAGAGAAGCTGCTGGTAACAGACAACATGTGGATGAAGGCTCAGAGGCAGAAGTCTAATGCACTGGTCGGATCAGATAGGTTCCGCTCTCAACACTTCAGTCCATGCTGCTATTCACAAAGACGAGGATAGGCAGGAGTGGCGCAAGACAATCCTTTTTTTTTCCTACCTAAGCTGGTAGCCTTGAGAGGCTATTCCAACGTAACCTTAATTAGTAGGTGAGCTCACGGGGCTCAAACCTGACGACGTTGCTGACACGAACCCTAGCAAGAGCCGTGCTTCGCAGAATCTACCACCGGATCGGAAACGCGACCCACTGAGAAGATCCGGTGAGAAACTCAGTGGGCTGTGTCTGAGAGTTAATTTACTCGTCGAGCCCTTCGTTGCAAGCGCCGGGTTCGACGAGAACGGTGACCGGTGCTTGAAGTACCTAAAAGCACCGTCAGTGCATCGGGAGGATCCGAGATGACGTGTTTTGGGCGACGTCGACTGCTTTCCATTCTTTCCGCAGGATCGGGAATGTAGTTACCGGCGGCCACGATGAGAGGGTTCTCATGTCATGCCGCTTTATCGAAGTGGCGCATTGACGCCGACTGTAGATACTTACTGATGGACTCTAAGTTCAGGTTGTCATGGAGGTCGACGTTCCTGACGAACCACGGGGCTCCGACGGCTATCCTGCAAAAACGGGATTGAATGATTTGGAATGATTTTAAGTGAGTGCGGGCCGCATGAGCGGACACTACACTTGCATAGGTCATGACGGGAGGATAATCCAGGAGAAAGTTATTAGAGAAGTTATTAGTTTGTTTGTATTGAATAGGCTCCGAAACTACTGAACCGATTTGAAAAATTCTTTCACTGTTTGGAAGCTACACTATTCCCGAGTGACATAGACTATATTAATCTATTTTTTTTTAATTAGGGATCCTTACTTAAACCCAAGGTGTAAAAAAAATTCCTAAAATATTTTACATAGCGTGCCCTGCGAAAACTATTGATGATAGAATAAAATAATAAACTACGACTTTGCAAAACACATTATTATTTACAAAAAGTGTCGCGACAGCCTATGTCTAACTATTATAGTTATGCCGCAATAAGTGTTCTTTTATTTTAAAAAATAAAACAACGACAAATATCATTGAATTTTTTGTTAAAGACCCGAGTGGAGCCGGAGTGGGCCGCTAGTTTACAATATTCGTTGAGTCAGGTCAGTCTCTTTTCGTCCTTGGGCTTTTGCCTTTTGCAGAACATCGAAAACAATGTATAGTTTACTTTTCCTGTGCCTGACGAAAAAAAATTTCAAAATTGATCTATGTCTCTCACTGAAATGTCATGTAGGCTGTTCATGTCAAACGAAATCATCAAATTGTAAAAGATCCAATCTGAACTAAATTAAATCAAAACGTTTGCACTTAACAGCTTTTCAGCACGAGGAACCTTTTTATGACTTTGATTTTTAAGATCCTGTTCATCCGCGTAATATAACAGGATGTACCCCGTTGGTCAACGTAAGTATAAGAACACACGAGGATGCATCACTCTTTGTTTGAGTGCCCCAAATAATAATACTAGAAGATTAAATACAATATTAAAACGAAAATATCTTGAATCTTGGAAAATGTTAATGCAAGGGTTTATTTCGATGTAGCTCCAGCGGGGGAGACGAGTGGTGGGGCAGTAGGTGTTGCAGGAGCCGTGGGTGCACCTGCTGGCACGCCTGGAGCAGCGCCCGTAGCTCCGAGCGCTGCACCAGTTGGAGCACCGGCCCCAGGCGTGGCAGGTGGTGCAGCAGGTCTGCCACTAGTATCTCCAGCAGCAGCGGCGCCTCCAGATCTGCCAGTGCTAACATGTCCTCGACGACCAAACCTTGGCCACGAGGGCAGGCCAATAATGCTGAGAGCAAACCATTTTCAAATATCAATGCCAAGAGGGTTTGTTCATCACTATGATGTGAATATTCAACCTGATAAATGCCCTAGGAAGGTAAAAAAAGAATTACTTATATGACTAAACTTTGACTGTGAAAATTTGTGTTTCCTTGTAATTTACCTGATATATATCCTAAAGTAACCTGCAAATTGCATTTTAGGTGAATAGAGAAATAGTTGAGACAATGGTGCACTGTTATAATAAAATATTTGGAGCCCTCAAACCAGTGTTTGATGGAAGAAATAATTTGTACACAAGAGATCCTCTTCCCATAGGAAATGATAGAATGGAATTAGAAGTAATTTTACCTGGTGAAGGAAAAGACAGAGTGTTCCGTGTTACTATTAAATGGGTAGCTCAGGTAAATCATGATTTTTATCAAAGTTTATTAAAAGGTGTGATTGCTTAATCAAGTTTAACCAGAGAAGACTTACCCCTGGATGGTTGTTCATGGTACATGTATGAAGATGAATTTAATATAATCTCTTGATGTTTCAATTAGATTGTAAAGTACAAAATTCTTAAAAATATTAATAAAAAAATTAGACTCTCGGAACTTTTAGGACCTAAGAAATACTATAAACAGACTTATTTATAAGGAATTTTGTGAAAAGTACATACATCCCAATGTCCTTGATGTTCAGATGCTTTAAGTAAGAAATGCTAAAGAAATTGTCACACTGACCTTTGATAAATACCATATGTGCTCTTTGTTAATGAAATTATCATGTCTGTCTGTAAAAACATAAAAATATATTAATTTACTTGTTTGCATACCATGAAAAATGCCCAAAATATGATTTTAGGTTTCATTGTTTGCACTGGAAGAGGCATTAGAAGGTCGCACAAGACAAATCCCTTATGATGCAATCTTAGCTCTGGATGTAGTGATGAGACATTTACCATCAATGATGTATACTCCTGTTGGGCGCTCATTTTTCTCTTCACCAGAGGGATATTATCATCCCCTTGGTGGTGGACGAGAAGTTTGGTTTGGTTTTCATCAATCGGTCAGACCAAGCCAATGGAAAATGATGCTTAATATTGATGGTATGTATACATTCTATTATTGAAATAGACATTTCACCTAATGATTTTCACAAATAATATAACACTGTTTTTTTTCACTATTACAGTGTCAGCAACTGCTTTTTATAAAGCTCAGCCCGTTATAGAGTTCATGTGTGAAGTTCTTGATATACGAGATATTAATGACCAAAGAAAACCATTAACAGACTCACAGAGAGTTAAGTTTACTAAAGAAATTAAAGGTTTGAAAATAGAAATCACGCATTGTGGTACTATGAAACGTAAATACAGAGTGTGCAACGTGACACGTAGGCCTGCTCAAATGCAGTCGTAAGTGATAATATATACCATTACCATATACATATACCTTAAACAATATATATCATGCCATTATTTCAGAAGTTAAGGAAAAACAATTTTTATCTATTCCTGAATATATGAAATCTAAATCAAAATACTCAGTTTTAAACATGTTAAATATTTAAATTTGAATACAATTTCCATTATTCATTTCAGTTTTCCTCTTCAACTAGAGAATGGACAAACCGTAGAATGCACAGTAGCTAAATATTTTTTGGACAAATATAAGATGAAGCTTAGATATCCTCATCTGCCATGTTTACAAGTAGGCCAGGAACACAAACACACATACCTACCTCTTGAAGTTTGTAATATTGTTCCGGGACAGAGATGTATAAAAAAATTAACAGATATGCAAACATCAACCATGATCAAAGCAACAGCACGTTCCGCTCCAGACAGGTGTGTACCATAAATTATTATTATTATTATTATCATCATCATCAATAATATTATACTGTCTACTGATTAAAAACAAAGTCTAATGAATTAGAAAGTAATTACTAATATTTGTATTCTAATTCATCCAAGTAAGTTTTATTGTATATTTTTTTACAAAGATGATGAAAGAACTTACAGCCCACTTGTTGTTAAGTAGCCAATCAAGCCTTATAGGCATCATTCTGGGATGTGGCTGCCACCCATCTTGATACAGTAGGTCGAAGCAAGGGCGGATCCAGCTTTGGCGCCAGGAGGGGGTCACATAGTCAAATTTAGATGCGTTCGTTCCCAGACGTTTGCCATTATACAAAGTTATTATATTATATTAAATTAATTAAATATTGAAGGTTACATAAAAACTGTATGGTTACAAAATATATAAATAAAATCATTATATTCAATTAGTGGTCCACCTAAATCCTGGAACCAGCTCAGGGGGTGGTCATGACCCCCATGACCCCCCCCCTGGATCCGCCATTGGGTCGAAGCCTCTACTTTAATAGTGGTAGAACCTCTATATCTCAAGGTAGATGGAGCATTTACGTTGTAGATGTCTATGGGCTCCTGTAATCACTTAACAACCATGTGGGCTGTGGGCTCGTCCACCCACATAAGCAATAAAAAAAAAGCATTATATCTTGGTCTTATGGTATGCAATCAGAATGACTATCTCAGTAGAGTTAGGTACTGAGACTTATATAATGCTATGTCTATCCAATGCTATAATGCTACCATACGTGAAAATTCATAAAACAAGCAGGTTTGATTTTTAATTAATCAATGTCATTTCTTTGTCGTAGAATTAATTTGAATTTGTTGTAGAAGATTCTT